GCCAAGATTCAAAAGCAGGTTTCCTCATTCCGTGGTTAAGGGTACTAGCGGTACCCCTAACCATAACACATCACCTGGTACTTGTCTGCACCCACCCTCCTTTTAGTTAGCAAACTCCCTAAAGCCAGAATTGTCCTAATTACCTCTCTCTAATGATTTGCATAGTACCCACAACATAATGGAGGGTGAGGTGTGTGTATGTGTGTCAATAAATGCTTGAATTAAAAATTTTGCAATTTATGAGGATTACCCACGTTCCTGCATATCACACAAGCCCATTTTGGGTCTCTCCCTCCCCCTCCAACCTCCTGTGCCCCAGGCTTTAGCAGATGGGGCTAACTGAATGACCCACCCATAACTTGTCACAGTCCATCCCTGGTGATGTCCCCGCTGTAGGGTATCACCTGGGTTTCAGCCTCCAACACTCGCAGGCGCCGGCTGGCAGAGGAAAGCAGGGTCTCAAGTTCCAGCTGCAGTGTGTCCAGCTCCTCAATGCCGATGCCATCGTCCTCAGAGCGGGCCAGCACTGCCGTGTAGCGTGGACAAACTTTCAGGTGGTCCACAGACTTGAAGTCATGGAACTGCAAGGGGCAGTCCTTCAGTTCACTCATGGCCTAGGATACAGGACCCTAGGGAGCTGGAGAGGAGAGGGCCATTGATGGTAGATGGAACGGCACAAGAAAAGCCCAAGGGCTCTCTCCATCATGTGCGAGCGCCAAGGAGAAAACCAGGCTTCAGTACCCTTTTGACAGATTGATAGCACAGTTTCTACTCACAGAGCACCTACTGTGCACCAAGCACAGGGCATTTTACCAGCTTCTCATTGAATTCCAACTCCTTGAACAGGAACCATGTGATCTCCATTTTACAAATAAGGAAACTGAGACTCTGTAAGGGGGGTTACAGACTTACCAAAATGCAATTTGAATGCAGGTGGTTGTGCATCTGTGCGCCTCACCACCATGATGTGCTATGCCCTGTCTTTCTGATGCTCTTCCCTTTTGTTCTACTCCTCCTGGGTTCTGCTACCTAAGCCTCTGAGTTCCAAGCATCCCATTCTTACAATGTGTTCATTCGCCTCCCAGCCTCGTCTTGTCTCGCCCATCCCCACCTTTACCCCTCCCTGATAATGGTTAAGAATGTGGCTGGTAAGCCAGACATACCAGGGTACAAGCCCAGGCTTTACCATTCTCTATTTATGTGACTGATAATGTTATTTAACCTTCCCGAGTCTCGGTTTTTCCATCTGTAAAATGGGGACGAAAGAAGTCTGGGTCTGTTTCCTTTTAAGAAGTCTGAATCTGTAAAATGGGGATAACAACAGTACCTACCTCCCCGGGACGTTCTGAGGATTAAGAGATGATGCTCGTCAAGAGCCCAGTTCAGTGACTGGCACAGAAGTGGGACTGCTTAAAGGCTGGCGCCCCCCCACCTTGGGTCGCCCCAATACCCCGCCTTCAGGGTCCCCGTCCTCTCGGGACCCCCTAACGCGACCCCCGCCCCCTCCACCTCCTCACCCCAGCCACCTACGACCACCGGGTCGCGACAGGGGGCGGGGAGTTCCGGTTGGTGTATCAACCACCCGGAACTGGCTGAGAGCGGGCCCTGCAGTTGACGCGGGGCGGAGACACGGAAGGGCGAGCCCTCGGTGGCCAGCGGGGGAGGACTTGCTGGCCGCCCGCGAGCCCACTGCCAGGGTGAGGGGTGCGCCTCGGGTCTACCCTAGGGATCAGCCGGGCTGGAGGGCGGGGCTCGGCGGCCGGGTTTTCAGTCTGACGGTTAGTCCCGCCGAGCCCCTGGGGCCGGCGGTAGGAGGGGCCGGAGAAAGGATGGGGGCGCAGAACCGGAAGGAACGAAGGTCTCCTCCGCCTCGCTTAGTCCAAATATGGTGCCCAACCTGCGGCCGGGCCGCACCATTGCATAACTATGGGGAAAGAAAGCGGAAAAGAAGCCAAGCAGGTCAGAGTAAAAAGCGAGAGCTTCATGGAGAACGGAAGAAGCATGAGTATCTATGTGAAACTTCAAGAGTCTAAAAAAAGCAAGACAGCACCAGCGGGAAAAATTCCAAAGGACCAAGTGTCCCGAGGCTTCCCTTCCCCCGCCCGGAGCAGCGATGGTACCGCCCGGAAATCTGGGCGGAGACTGCGGCTGCGCCGCTGTGAAAGGGCAGGCGTCGCGGGCCGGGCCACTTCCGTACTTCCGCTTCCCGGCCCAGCCAGCGCCCGCGATGGTGAGAGTGCCGGGCCGGGGACCCTCCCGCGTCCCCGCGCTTCGCCCCTCTCTTCTCCCTTAGCACTGGGGGTTTGGGGGGGATACGGCTTCGCGGCCGAGGGGCCCGGGCCAAGGGATGCTGGGGGTTTAGGGGCACGACGAGGCTGGGAGGAGGGGGGCGGGGTAGGTGCCGAATGAGGAAGGGGCCAGCGGATGACGCCCTGGTGAGCAGCAGCCCGGTGGCACCCTGGTCTGGCCCTCGGGGCAGGTGGAGAATACTCCTGATGCTTGAGGGAGCCGGAAGTGGCGCTTCCTAGACTCGTGGTAGGGCCCCCCCGCACATAGTAGGCCTGAGCCCGTTGTAGGCGCTGAGGCTAGTGTAGTAGGGCCACTTCCCCACCCAGAATAGAAGAACTTCACTAAATGCGCTGCTCTGCTCCCTCCTGCCTGCTTGGCCCCACAGTTTCCCAAGGGAAGCGTCCAGACTTCGGTATCCCATTCTTTTCCTTGCCCCTGCCTTGCGCCTACCGTGCTGAACGATGCCTTGTGCTGCCTCCACCCAATTCCCTTCCTGGTCAGAACTTCACTGTGTTAGCCTCACTGCAGGATGTAATGTGTAAGATCTGGTACTGCCGATCCCTTCCTCCCTGGAGATCCTCCCGTTTGATAAATGTTCCCGGAAGTTAAGTGATAAATATCTCACCTCCTGGCTTTCATGGCCTTGTGTTTCACGGTGACTCCTGAATCTGCCTTCCTGAACTCTCTCAAAGGTTTGCCTGGGTATCTTTTTTTTTTTTTTTTTTAATATATTTTATTGATTTTTTACAGAGAGGAAGGGAGAGAGATAGAGAGTTAGAAACATCAATGAGAGAGAAACATCGATCAGCCGCCTCCTGCACATCTCCCACTGGGGATGTGCCCGCAACCCAGGCACATGCCCTCGACCGGAATCGAACCTGGGACCCTTCAGTCCGCAGGCCGACGCTCCATCCACTGAGCCAAACCGGTTTTGGCATTGCCTGGGTATCTTGAAGATACCTTGACATTAGGCCTCCAGAGCAAAACTCCGCTTCTCTCCTAAAATTGCTTGTCCTCCTATGTTCCTAATACTGGCCATACCTCTCGATTTTTTTAAAAAAAATCAAGTTTATTGAGGTATTATATGAGACTATTTTAATGGTGAAAGGGCAGGCATCACGGGTTTGGTCATTTAAAATTTTTATTGCTGAGTAGTATTTCATTGTGTTGATGGACCATAGCTTTTTTGGGAGGTATTTAATTTCATAATTATTTACATCTTTGTCAGTCTAATCCCTGTGATACTCGCTGCTTGTCCTCTTCCACAGCCCCAGTCCAGGCTCTCATCAGCACTCTTTGAATAACCCTCTCTGCCTTCTGTCTCACTTCCCCTCCAATCCATTCTGCACAGAGCCTCCATGTAGTTGTGTAACTTCCTCTCAGAATTCCCCAGTAGTTTCTTACCACCATAAAAGAAAAGCCAAACTCAGAAGCCTGGAATTTGAGATTCTCCATGAATCTCCAGGCTATCATTGCAGCCTCATTTACTGACTCTGAAATACTTTCCACTATACAGCAACATTGTATTCATTACTATTTCTGAAACTCTTAATGCCCTGTTGTGTTATCCTAACTTTGCTTAAGTTATTTCATTCATTCATTTATTGTACAGGAAATGAATAAGGCACTATATACAGGGTGGGGCAAAAAATAGGTTTATGGTTCATGTGGAAAACAATACATTAATAAATAATAATACAAGAACAGACTTTTGTATACTCGCACTGTAAACCTACGTTTGTCCCACCTTGTATGTTAGGTACTGAGCTAGGTGTAGGGTATGTAGATTTGAATAAAATAGACATGGTTTATTGATCATGAGGCTTACAGTCTAGAGAAGGAGAGATCACTTTACTAAAGATGTATGAAGAATGTATTATTGTAAATTTTAAGAAATGCTTTGAAGGGCAAGTCAAGAAAGAGTTCTCTGAGGAAGAGGCCTCCTCTGAGTAAACCACCATCTGAAGGATGACTTAAGTAAAGAGAGGTTAGAAAAGCCTGCAGATAGTTAGTTCAGCATGTGTGAAACCCTGAGGTGAGAAATCAACTTGGCTAACACCAGTATAAGGAAATGAAGAGAAGCCAATGTAGCTAGAAGCTGATCCTGTGGGGATGCCCTTGTTTTTCTCATTGTAAAATCTAATCCTTTTCCATCTTCAAATCAAAGCCAATTTCTTCTATAAATATAAATCTAGTTATGCCACAGTTATCCTTTATATCATGGTCTTTCCTCCCCATTGAGCTATTTAAGGGTAGAGATAGTCTTAATCATCTTAAATCTTCAGCACCTAGCTCAGTGCTTGGCACATAGTAGACATCCATATGTTGGTTCAAAAGATAATTGAGGACAGTCACTCACCTGCATGCCTCTATACCAGAGCTTCTCAACCTCAGCACTATATGGGCCTGAATAATTCTTTGTTGTGCATTGTAGAATGTTCAATAGTATGCCTGGCCTCTTACCTGCTCAGTGCCAGTAGCGCCCCATCCCAAGTAGTGCCAGTGAATAATGTCTCAACATTGCGGAGTGCCCCTGGCAGGCAGAATGGTCCCCTGTTGAGATCTATTGCTCAGGAAATTAGAATGGTAGGCACCTTTACTTTGCTGTCTGAGAGCCCGGCTCAGTACTCTCTGGCTCCTGAGTAGCCAAAGCAGGGGGCCAGTGGGTCTGTGAGACAGATTCTGATCCTCCCTTGGGGTTTTTCCTACAGACTGCCACTCTCCGTCCCTACCTGAGTGCCGTGCGGGCCACATTGCAGGCTGCCCTCTGCCTGGAGAATTTCTCCTCCCAGGTTGTGGAACGACACAACAAACCGGAGGTTGAAGTCAGGTAGGGAAGAAAAAGGTCATGGTGGGGGTGATGGGTGCAGCCTCAGAGATGGCTAGAATGTGCCATGAATTTCCATTCTGGAGTTGTCAGGACAACAACAGTTCACATATTTTGTCTTGCTGCCAGATGAACAGTGATAACAGTGATTCCTAATTTGGAGTTCAGAAAACAGGGTCAGTGGGTTAGCAGGACAAAACCCAGGGGAGAAGCTAGTCTGGTGCAAAGATTGCTTGACACAGGTATGACTTCTCAAAGTAGAGCTGTTCGGGAAGTATCTCCTGTGGTATTATTGAGCCCAAGGGTAGTTTAAGGGAGGATGGAGAATTTAGTTATCTGAGATGCTATCTCCATTCTTTTCTAATTTAAACATCAAGGATGATTTTTTCTCTCCCAATCAACCTGGACTCTTTCATCTCCTACTCCAAATATTCTGCATTTTGGGTTGTATTATCTTATCTAGTTTATGTTTTGTAAGCAAGTTGTTCTTTTACCCTTTAAAGTTTAATCTGGAACATATGTATAACTGAGAGACATGGTGTTACCACACTATATTGATGTGATTTAAATTTTAAAAAATTGACAAGATGTTAGCATGTGCCATGTTATGTTACTTAACACATATGGTTTCTAATAGGCATTAAAAAAATTTTTTTATAGATTTCAGAGAAGAAGGGAGAGGGAGAGAGAGATAGAAATATTAATGATGAGAGAGAATCATTGATCGGCTGCCTTCTGCACGCCCCACACTGGAGATCGAGCCCAAAACCCAGGGATGTGCCCTGACCGAGAATTGAACTGTGACCTGGCTCATGGGACAACACTCAACCACTGACCCACACCAGCCAGGCTCTGATAGGCATTTTAATGTGGCAGCAGCTCACAGACACTACCACTACAGTTGATTACCATTACATAGATCTAGGGATGCAGAGGCATGGAAATGGGAACTGAGCTAAGAGGGGTCTTACTGCTGAATAAATGAATCATTAGGGATTGATAATTAAGATGCCAGACTAAGTTTGTCCTTTTCTCCAAGGCATCCTCTCTCTCATTCCTTAAATGGTATGTGGGTTTGCCTATATTAAAATAAGAGCTGTCATTTGTAAAGCTCCTCCTACATGTTCCTGGCATGCTATTGGACACTTGACCCCTTTTTATCTTTCTCAGTCCTTGCCAGTGAAATAGGAATCAGTCATTTTACAGATGAGAAAATTGAGATTCCAATAGGGTAACTTGCCCAGGAAAAATAACAGAGGAGGCTGGATTTCAAAACCTCTTTGCCCCGACTCCAGAGCCTGTGCTCTTTCCATTGAGAATACACTCACTGGCCCCCATCTTGGAGCAGCCCTGCTTGTGAGTCTCCTGTTCGTTGGACTCTGGTCTGAGGAAGTGATTCTAGGACCTGTGTGGGGTCTCCCTGAGCATTCTGTTCCTCTCTAGTACAGAGCCTTTGTGACATTGTGTTTTTAGGAGTAGCAAAGAGCTCCTGTTACAACCTGTGACCATCAGCAGGAATGAGAAGGAAAAGGTTCTGATTGAGGGCTCCATCAACTCTGTGCGGGTCAGCATTGCTGTGAAACAGGTGAGCTCACTGTGGAGCCCCTGCCTCTCCACGAGGCCAGGGATCCCCACGGAGATCTGGGTGGATGGAAACTTGACCATATACCCAGGAAATGATTTGCCAAACTGAGCAGGTCGGTAGAATAAAGAGCGAGCAACTCTTATCTCCTAGGCCAGTGATGGCGAACCTTTTGAGCTCGGCGTGTCAGCATTTTGAAAAACCCTAACTTAACTCTGGGGCCGTGTCACATATAGAAATTTTTTGATATTTGCAACCATAGTAAAACAAAGACTTATATTTTTGATATTTATTTTATACATTTAAATGCCATTTAACAAAGAAAAATCAACCAAAAAAAATGAGTTCGTGTGTCATCTCTGACACGCGTGTCATAGGTTCGCCATCACTGGCCTAGGCCTTGCCCTGGATTAGAAGTCAGGAAATGTAGCAGCCAGGGCCATGGGCCAGTTAGTATTAGCTCACAGAACCATTCCTAAGGAGTGAAGAATAAGTCCAGTTCAGGAAAATAAATAGTAACAGTACCAGTACCAGTCATAAACTCTGAAAGTAAGGTTTAGGGTAAAAAACAAAGTGCAATTTTATTTCCTCGGATGTTTTACAAATGTCTGACCTTCCCAGCACCCCCATCATTTTTGCCATATCTGTGTACCATCTTGACAGCTATATACTTAGTAGGTTTCTTTAAATTGACTTAGTTTCGTTAATAGAAGCTTTGTCATAAGTGGAAGAACAATATCACTTGCCAGATCGAGGGAACTCTAAAAAATAAACGTAATGAAAGCAAACAATGATTCTGTTGCCTATAGGAAACCCTACCTCTGGGGTCTGCTCTCTGTTAATAAAGGAGATTACAAAGTGTTGGGAACTGCTCAGGGCATACTATTACCCAGCTGCAAAATTACTTCTTAGAAATATTTAGAAATATTTAAGTTCAGGGAGAAACTGGGAATCGTTTCACGTTCAGTCTCTGATAAGCCAGATGAAATATATCACAGACTGGGAAATGTAGCACTAGTGAAATGAGAAAGAGAAAGGCATCTTTGAATATAGATGAGGACTCTGGAAGAAGTGGGTAGAAGACTCAGGTTTGCCAAAATTCCCTCTCTGGAATGGACAAAGATGAGATCATGATAATGCCCTGTTGGAGTGCATCTAATATTATAGACCCTCCTTTCAATTGGCAACCAAGTGTCCCATGATTCAAAGTTCAGGCAGAGTGCTCCCAGTCCCAAACCCGTCTGGCTTCAGTGAGCCTTGGGGGAATTGGGTCAGAAGCCCAGGCTACAGGTCTCTGTTGGTTTATGGTATCAGCTTTAGGGAAACTTTTCTGCTTTGCTCTCAATAGGCTGATGAGATTGAGAAGATTTTATGCCACAAGTTCATGCGCTTTATGATGATGCGAGCAGAGAATTTCTTTATCCTTCGAAGGAAACCAGTGGAGGTAAGACTGTGATTAACATGTTCATGATGTCCAGGATTCTATCACTGAGTCCACTGTCACTGGCATGGGATTGTTTCTAGAACCAGAGTTGCTACTTCTCTAACTGTAGGGCATCCAATCACTGCTTAAATTGAGAATGTAGCAGCAAAAAGGACACAGTGAGTCAAATCCTTTCTAAGCTCTGCCGCTAGCTGATTTCATAGTCTTTCAAGGATACAATTGACTGGGTCAGTTGTTGCTGACTTTGTACTTCAGTCCTCTCCACAGACTCCCTGTCATATTGACTTAAAATGTCCCCAATGACTGAGCAACACCACCCACACAGAGCAGCATGCAGCATCACCAGATACATTAGACATGTTGGACAAGCTAGTCCTCATTCTGAGCTAAAATCTTCTGGTCCTAGCCCTAACCTCTGAGGCCACCCAGGATAAGTAAAATTACTCTTCCACACACAACCTATCTGACAGTTAAAGGCTCTATCCCATCTGTCTCCCACAGCATCTCTTCAGACTAAGTGTTCCCTGTTTGATTTGATTCTTCTATGACAAAATTTCAAGTCTCTTCACTCTCCCTTGACTCATTCTGAATGCTACTATTTGTGCCACAGATAGTCTTCCTGAGACGTCTGATATGCACAAAATCCTCAACTGGGTTCAGTTCCTTGGATCCAACATAGACACCCCACCAGAGCAGGTGGGCTGCTGACTGAAAGGTGTGTAGCTTGAGAGAAGATTGCAATCAGCTGAAAGCATGTGACTGAGTGAATCCAGAGGACATGGCCAGCTAAGTTCCCCCTGGGATGCTAACCTCCTGTTTTTTCTCTTCCTGCTGTCTTCCTTTCCTAGGGTTATGACATCAGTTTTCTGATCACCAACTTCCACACAGAGCAGATGTATAAACACAAGTTGGTGGACTTTGTGATCCACTTCATGGAGGAGATCGACAAAGAGATCAGTGAGATGAAGCTGTCGGTCAACGCCCGTGCCCGTATTGTAGCTGAGGAGTTCCTTAAGAATGTAAGTAGGGGCTTTCCTGGTTTCCTTCCAGAGAGACAGGAGCAGCCATGGGTCCTGTTAAGAATTTAGCATCTGGCAGGAAAGTGGTGCCAGTGTGTGAGTATTTCCGGAGGCCTCTAGGATCTCTGGTGGGTGCCAAATCAGCCAGGTGCCTTGAGGCTGGAGAACATGAGCTTCATCTTTCAGAGGTGCAGGGCATTTTCCGTAACTGGGTGTCTAGGGCAGCCGTGGGCAAACTATGGCCCGCGGGTTGGATTCGGCCCGTTTGAAATGAATAAAACTAAAAAAAAAAAGACCGTACCCTTTTATGTAATGATGTTTACTTTGAATTTATATTAGTTCACACAAACACTCCATCCATGCTTTAGTTCCGGCCCTCCGGTCCAGTTTAAGAACCCATTGTGGCCCTCGAGTCAAAAAGTTTGCCCACCCCTGGTCTAGGGGATACCTCTCTCCTAGTCTTCTATTGGGTCTTAGATGCAAAATTCTATACCTCAAAATGTACAGAGTCCTTCTCTATATCTAGTGCAAGCCCCAAGTGAGGCATGTTAAATCCACATGTGGATTTTCTAGGAATGTAGGACAATTAATCATAGTGTAATTCCACTCCTCAGACAGACTTAAATATTTTCCTTCAGCGTCTGTTTCTCAGGCTTCAAGCCACGATTTCTTCAAGCTGTTTTCCATCACTTTCCTGGCCTAAGTCCTCTGGATCTTTTTTCAACTGTTTGTGCCTTCCTAACTGAGAGGACTGCAGTCCTCTGAAGAGGAGGAATTGTAAACATTGATGAACTGATGACACAGTTGTTCTTGTTTAGATATTCAGGACATGCCGCCTTCTTTTTCTTTTTCTTCTTCCAA